TATATATATATATATATTTCACCAGGGGGCGCCGGTGTTATGAAACAAACACTCAAGGATTGTCTCTTCATGCAAAGGAGCAGTTAAATAATTTACATATACACACAATTTCATAATGTAATTGTTTCATCCTGACACCTGATATCACAGCTAATTGTTTTTATGACACAATTCGGCGACTCTCTCTTATATAACATGCAAATGGAATCAATTGACTTTAGATGCCTGTAATGAACCACAAGAGTTAATGAATGTAAGCTTAAATGCATTAAAAGCCTCATTACTGAATGTGTCATAAAATTCCCGCCTAATGGGTAATATTGCATGCATGTGCTCATATCGAAGCCTGTCAGACTCTGTGAATATATGTGTGACTGCACATCTTCATTGAGTTAAATTGAGTTAAAGGTTTGGGGTTCGTTCAGATCACTAACCCTTGTATGAGCAACATACTAGTGACGTCTGAGCAAACAATACTAATAAACATCTTCATATTAAGAAAGATTCACCCCATTATGGTGTTGGTGGGGGTCTGGTCATGCATATAGATTATGAGTGTGCTGGTGGGGGGTGGGGGGTCCAGTCGGGGTCTGTTGAATAGAGCAGAGCAGATGTCCCTCAGTGATACAATAGCCTTGGTCGCCCCTCCTAACACAGAACAACACCCTCTCACCGTCCAGCTGCCATGCCTGAGTGCCACCTGGAGCGACCCTCACCAGGCCCATATCTGTATTGTTTTTAATCAGTTTGAGTTGTTTTAGGAACTCTGATACGATCAGAGTATAAAAGAAACACGTCTTCAAACATATCAAAAGACATGGAGCAAACAGCTTTCATTTCACATAGTTTGATCACAAACTCAAAACACCTTAGCAACTGCACGACAATGCCCTGGCAACCATCGAAAACACCCTAGTAACCCCACAGCAATGCACCTTATATCACCTTAGCAACTGCATAGCAACACCCTGGAAACCAAACAGAACTTCCAACAACATAGCAGCACACAGACAGGCATTCAGAATAATTTAGGAAAAGCATAGCAACACCCTGGCAACCATTCAGAATTCCCTAGAAACCACAGAAAAGCATTCAGAACACTTTAGCAACCATCCAGAACACCCTAGAAACCACATATCAACAATGCAAAGAAAGTCATTCAGAATATCTTAGCAACTGCATAGCAACACCCTGGCAACCACCCAGTATACCCTAGAAACCATAGAAAGGCATTCAGAACACTTTAGCAACTGCTTAGCAACACGCTGGCAACCAAACAGAACACCCATTCAGAACACTTTAGCAACCGTTTAGCAACAACCTGGCAACTATCCAGAACACCCTAGAGACCACATATCAACAATGCAAAGAAAGTCATTCAGAATATCTTAGCAACTGCATAGCAACACCCTGTCAACCACCCAGTAAACCCTAAAAACACAAAAAGGCATTCGGAACACTTTAGCAACTGCTTAGCAACACCCTGGCAACCAAACAGAACACCCAACAACATAGAAACACACAGACAGGCATTCAGCATACTTTAGGAATACCATAGCAACACCCTGGCAACCACGCAGAATACCATAGAAACCCCAGAAAGGCATTCAGAACACTTTAGCAACTGCTTAGCAACACCATGGCAACCAAACAGAACACCCATTCAGAACACTTTAGCAACCGTTTAGCAACAACCTGGCAACTATCCAGAACACCCTAGAGACCACATATCAACAATGCAAAGAAAGTCATTCAGAATATCTTAGCAACTGCATAGCAACACCCTGGCAACCACCCAGTATACCCTAGAAACCACAGAAAGGCATTCAGAACACTTTAGCAACTGCATAGCAACACCCTGGCAACCACCCAGAATACCCTAAAAACCACATATCAACAATGCA